TTATTTTCCAAAGTAAGCATTGGTGCTAGTTCTCAATAAATAATCTGTCTATGGCAACGCATTATTCATTTGTTGTTGCTATAGCCTTGTCCGAAAAAGATTTTTTAAAACAGGAAGTGTGTTTGTGGGGTTCCCTCCTCCACCCCTTGCTGGACTTGGTGATCACACATAAGGATGTGATGGAGAGCCTGAGCTGGAGTGAGCTCAATGGAAGTATGTCAATTTACAACAGCAGAAGATCTGGCCCAGACACAGTTTTAGCATTTTGCTGAACAGCTATTCATTCATTGCTTTAGTTGCCAAGAATTAGTTGACCGCATTAAATGTTCCTATTGGAAAAACTCAGCTTCTTTTGTCAACAAACTCATGTCAAGAACTAGAAACCTCCAAATTATTTTCCCACTCCTTATATGCTTTATCTCAGTTATTATCATCATTTAAAGTACTCGCATTTCATTTCCCCATGTATTTTTCTTTCCTCGGAGTCATGCCTAACCATTGTTTTCTCATCCAAGTAAAAGACTTTATGAACAGATTAACAGCCTGGAGTGAAAACTGAAGGTCAAGCCCTCCTTCTTTTATCTTTAAGTTATGAAAGCAGCATTGGGAATGATAATGTATATTGCAAACTGTCCCATAACTTGACTGTTTAATTTCCCTCTCCAATACAAAGTTTCATCATTACAAAGCAATATTGAACACGTAGTACAATATAAATGTTATGTAACAACAATATGGGGAAGGGCTCCTATACTGATGGGGTAAAGTCCTTGTCACATCAAAATCTTTGGGAGTTTTGCCATCAACTTCACTAGGGCCAGGATTTCACCCACAGTCTGCACTGATGTAAACCACTTCTAAAGAAACAGAGCATGTTCCCTTAATCCCCTCACTGCTTTAATTTCTGAGGTTTACCTACATTCAGACATCTGCCAATGGCCTTGTGTTTATATTAATTATGCAGAAATCACATCTTTTAAGTAGTAAGGTCAAGGTTCTTTAGATACCCAAATAACATAAGGAGCCAAACAGTAAGATTTTTGTTGCAGTGTCAGTTTTCTGGTACCTGCTACAATAAGTTTAACTGGGTTCCTAGACATGCTATTCCTTTTATTGGGTAAAATGAAGTTCTAAAACGCTGATCAAAGGACTCCACAAGGAAACAAGCTGTCATTTGGACAGAAGTGTATTAAATCTGACAACAGCAAAGCCTATCTTCCAAAAGAAAAGCCCAGTTCAGGTTTCCACACATTTGATTTTTCAAAAGCAAGGGCAAGGCTTTCCACCTACTTCTGGATGGGATGTCAAAATTTGCATTTCAGCTAGAATGTTTTGAGAAGGTCAGTGTACTAGATCCCATAGGTATAAATGTCAGACTCCAGTGAGGAGGTATACTATTTCCCACATCAAAAACCTGCCATCTGACAATTGACCAGAAGTAGTCCACAGGGAAATCTTCTCTTTGTTACTAAGGATAGAAGCACACCTCTTGGCTCAATGATTTGTTTCTTTTTAGAATGGAAATGATCCAGGGAAATCTTTACCTCTGGCCTGTTAGATTTTGTTTTTTATCACTCTAATCACAGCCTTGGCTTGTGGCTGGAAGTATATTCCCCTTACAAAGAAAAGGAACCATATTTTATGCCTGTAGTTTTGCAAACTATAATGCTTTACAAATCATGAGTTTAGCTGTGTAGCCGCTGTTTTTCCCTTGTCACTGCTATAGCTCGATTTCCCCCCCCCCCCCAATTGCCATAAAAAGAGATTCCATGACTTTCAGGGGTTTATATCATGCCATAAAAAAGTATTCCAAGCTGAAACGTCAAATATAGCATTTCCGTTTGCATTATTAAAAAAATGTTGATTTAAAGTTTTAAAAATAAATGTCATGAAATACCAGTCATTCCCAGAAGGGCAGAGTAAGAAGATGCAGGGGAAAGGGATAGTATCTTGTCCTGAGCTCATGACAACTGCGTGTTGTTTTAGTTCGAGAGTCTTGCCATCTTAAAAATTGCTTTTCTGGCTTTCCCAGTTACAACTGCTAAGAAAATGCTTCAGAATATCTGATTTATTAAATAAAGCACCTTTTTGTAAACAAAAACTTAGAAAATAGAATGATAGATTTTTGCACATTTCACTTTACTGCCTTCTTACAGAAATGCAATGGGTAATAGGATCAGTGGAAAAACATTAGATGCACATATACGCTTGGGACATGGAAAGAAGCTGCACTGTATTGTTTAAGAACCAAATAATTCAGCTTTGCAGCCGTTTTTATTTTGCTTTAAATAGCCCCACAAACTAAAGTCATTAGTAGGCTATCATGAACAGATAAGCTAAAAGTTTGCTCTACTTGAAGTTAAAGTTATCATCCCTATCCTATACATTTGATTAATGCCTTTACAAATGTTTTAATCCAAAACAAACTGACCACCTGGAGATGAAAAGACAGTTCTGAATTATTTCTTTTTAGCAAAATTATAATAGTGAACACACTATTCAACACTCTGTGGTGAATAGTTTCATAGTTCAGGTAAACATCCAAACCTTATTGTAAGTGAAGGGCTGTTCAATCTCAAGCAATAATTTAACACCACAATTGTATGTTTCCCTCTCATTCATATAACATTTTAAGTTACCACGGTACTCAAGATGATCACCCGCCTTCTGAGTTGTTCAGTCATCACTCTCTTCTATAGCCTCATGGTGGCTGTTCTTTACATTTCATTTATTTATACATGTTCTCCCTTTAGATACATGAAGATCACCCCTTGCTTTGTGTAGGTTTGCAGAGGACAGCTACATAACTAGAACAACAGCATTTTTCAGTAATCTCTCTAAGATGTACTGTTACAAGAATGCTGACCCAGAAATCATGGCCACAATCTCGTGAGCAGAAGGCCAGTAAAAATGAGTGTGACAAAGAATTTCCAAGTGACATTGGGCCACTGAATACTATAGTCCTTGCTAATTTCTACCATAGACGTAAATCAGTGGTTAGATGGTGCTGACTGGCTGCACATGGCACAGTTAAGGCCAAACCTTTACCCACAATAAATAAGAGCAATATTTCAGAAGCATTTATTCTCCAATGCCAATGAGTAATTAACTAATTAAGTGTATGTGTCTCCAGATGTGATTAGTCCCCCAAATTTTTGTTTCTTTTCTTAAAATTGCATTTTAACCAAGAAAAACAACTTTGCAATGGAACCATAGACTAAATACAGCCTTTACAGTCCAGTTCCTATTGGGTAAAAATGTATGCATGGGTAAAATTAAAAGATTAGTAACTACTACTTCAGTATCATTCCATTCTGACGTTGTTTGATTCAAGTTTCATTAGATATATTTAGGATAGATGCATCTAAAGCTCATATTATTTATCCCTAAAAGCTAGAATCACAGGTTTGTCTTTCATACAAATATAGATTCAATTCATTTTGTGAAAAAAACCATGATCGTTGTTTGCTTTGGATACCCTTAAACAATACAAAGACTCAGTCCTTTACCCGGTAATAAAAAGTTCTCTTTTCTTCGGACAATTGAGGGCAGGTGAAATATTTTCAAAACCTGGAGGCTACAAGATGTACATATGCCATCTTGATTAAACATATGGAACGCATACTCGAAGAAAAGCCAACTGGAGTCCTAGTTGAGTAATCAAAACACCCTAGCTGAGAGGGGTTAACATGCAAGGATCAGCTCTGAACTTTGAAGTTTTCTGGTCTTCATTTTTCCTAATTAAGACAAGATTTAATAACCAAACCACTGTACAAACTATGTACTTAAACTCTGGGTTTGTTTCTAATTTTGTTGGGAATTCCTAACAGATTCCAAGGAATCAGCACCCCATGAGAGAAGTTCACCAGTGAGATAGGTTGATCCTTTCTCCAATGTACAAGGGCAACATGCCTGCTTTTCATCTTATTTTCTCCCATATGACTGGCTTTCATATATACCCATCAAATAATTCTCTGACAAGATAGAAAAAGGGAAGATGCATTGATTCATATGTGCCAAAATTATTCAAAGCAGGCTGGCAAACATGTATTTAACTTCAACTTGAAAATGAGTATAGTACAATCAGTAAGACGGAAGGGTGTGCACTAAAGGTTCTCCTGGGATTAGATCATTTAATTACTCACATATCTCAGCATTGGAGTGTGGCATTGTTCATGGCTACAACTTATCTTTTGATGAAGTGTTGGCTATCTCTTTTATAAAACGATACTGTCTCTGCTATGAATATAGCTAGATTCCAACACCCTTTGTTCATTCATCTCCAAGTAGTCCTATTGATTTCTTACAGAATAAGGTATTACTTTACATAAGAAACAGTAGTAGATTTGGGCCCCAAATTTATTAGTAGCAATAGTTGGTTCTCTCTGACACATTAATCTTTTAACCTGACATGCAGGCAGTGAACATTTTGTTACTTGTCAATTTTATATGGAAAGCAGTGTCTTGATAGGTTATAAAAATCTTGCTTTGGCTGATCAGTGAAGCCTCTAGATGGAAAAGGAGGCTGATTTTGAAGAACTACCAATGTATTGCTCACCATTAATCAAGTAAGCTTAAAATATGAATCACAGGTAGCAACACAGAATTGCCTCCCAACAGTGAAATGGGAAGTGAAATAAGTCAGAAATAAATCCAATAACCTTTTGAGGAATCATTTATCAATACAGCAGGAAACTGATTTAAAATGGTAATTTAAAACTTCGAGAGAATCTGGTTGCTGTTTCATTTAATTATAGTTTTTCTGATGCCGATGCCCAGAGAACCAACTTTAGACAATCTTTAGGAACGACAGAAAATGGATGTCTAGTCTAACAGTAACACTCACACCCACACCCGACATGCCTATGTATATATATAATGTGCACATGTAGCAGGGACTTGTGTGCTGCTCAAGTACAGCATTGTACCAGATATCCACACTATCTTGTTAGTTTTTCATTCTCTGTGTGTATTGGAAAGGCTTTAGTTTGGGAGCTCACTTTGTTCATGTGAATCTGTTGCTGGTACTGTTTCTGCTTCTCCAGGAACTGCTGGTGCTGCTGCTGAATGACCAGCTGGGCCAAAGTGCTCTGAGGCAGTGGAGCTGACTGGGTTCGATTCAGGGGCCTATGACGAGGCAACTTGTGGGCAACTCTGACGCCTGGTGAGACTCTCTCCTTTGATGCTAATGGAGACTGTGGATGGAGAGGAACCCCTCCTGCAAAAAAAATGACATTTCACTCATCAAATATGAGGATCAGTAAAGCTAAGAAAATATAAAAGTCAGGGAGAGCTTCAGTGTAGCCGGCACACTGAAGAACTTTGCAGTAGTATCAATAAAATGATACTCCTACCACATGTCCAGCAACAACAGGAAGTTTGACAGCCCCAAGAGAAAGCTACAATGTTTTCTGTGATAATTTTACCCTTGGAGGCAGGAGCAAGAGATTGGAGCAGATCTCACTAAAAGCAGGGGGCAAAAATCAAACACCACACTGCTTCCCCCCCCCCCCAATGGCTGAGCACTGTAGCATTCATGTATTGCATTTCATTTAAAAATGAAATCGCTCTCTTGTAAAACTCCAGGTTAAAAAAAAAAAAAAAAGCTCTAAAGAACACTCCAGTGAAGCCTTTGAGAATTACCAGTCACAAGAAGCTTTTGCTGTCTCATTTGCTCCTTCAGTAACAAATGTTGCAGGAGAGCCTGATGGCTACTGTTAGGTTTTCCCTCTAGAGCAATATGAGGCTGAGCTGATGAGGGAGGCATGTTTCCCCCATACAGTCCAGGAAGAGCCACTCCCTGCCTCAGTGTCTGGGTCTCACACTTCTGTTTTTCTTTGAGTGAAGATGAAGCCTGTGTCAAGACACAACAGAAATGTTAGCTGCTTTTCAAAGACTTGGTCCATTAGGTCTCCGCATAACTAGCTGGGCTTTTTATACTGTAATTTAAAAGAAAATCTCCATCTTGCCCTGTGTCTATTGCCTGAAAATGGAGACCATGACAGTTATTTTAACACAGTGGCATCAATGCACAGGGAACCTGAAATAAAGAGGTTGTTCTCGAAGGGCAAGATTGTGACCTTTCCTTACAATGGTGTGTAGGGAAGTGTGGCCCTTCCCAGTCCCCTGCATAACTCACTCAAATCAACACTTTCTGTACAGGGAGAAGGAGAGGAACAGGGGGAACAGGTGTCTTGAATTCAGGGGGAAGCAGGTGAGCTTTGGCTTTCCACACATCCTTGTCTCACACAATAGATCAATCAGCAATACTGAGCCAAAGTGAGATGGAACATTAACTACAGCTGGTATAGAGCTGATGAATGTTACTTCCCCCTGAAGCAATTCCTTCTCTGGCCTACTCCTGGGGCAGCACAATTATACACTGCCTCCTTACTCAGGGTGGATTGTAAAGTAACAATCTGGTCTACAGGAGTCAATGGGAGCTGCTGGCCATTTAGCACTTTAAAGCCCCCTGATTTAATTGCCTAAATACAGACTATAGGACTTAAATTTAGGCACCCGTTTTAGAAAATCTTGACCAATTAGCATTGCAAATCTACTTCAGATATCTGTGTTCCAGCTAATGGCTGCCTACATTTTCATTGAAAAATTTAAACTAGATTTTTAAAAAGCGTTGATAAAAAAGTAATAAATAGCAATAATAAATATCTAATTGAGTCTTCCCAGATTGTACATGGTTGCCATTCAGTTTGTAATAGTAAAAAAAGGCTATTCCCTGATTATCTGAATTCCAGATGTTCTACTCAGGCAAACCCTAACCTTTTTCATTAAGTTTTCTGTACATACTTTTTACTTCACACTCTGCCACTGCCATTCTCTCCTGAAAAAATACCACAGTGGGCTATATTCAATTTAAATTACACTATCTTATTCTAGCAATTGCATAAACGTTACCTTGCAAAAATCAAATACCGTTTGTTCAATTTCCAAAAGTAGCATTTAGTGCTAACTGATCTCAATACAAGCTTATATGATGTGTGTGTGTGTGTTTTTTAAAGAGAACAGCTTTTAATTTCATGTAATAAATTACTTTGACATTACTTACTACTTGTTCTCAATTAGACAAGACATTTTTGCAGAAAGGAAACATTATTTATAAGTTGTGTATTTTGTAATGTTACTCACTGTTACTTATGATCAGTATCTTAACTAGAATCATTTGCTTACAAGTGTCTGATGCAAGATTCCTAGAGAATTTATTTAGAGTTGCAAAATTTTCTTTTGCAAACTTCTCCAGGTGTCTGATGTTAGAAAATAGTATCATATTTTCCCTCAGAAATTAACTAGGTAACAACAATGTATCAGAGATAAGGACATTATATTGTACTGAAAAAAACCCAACAGGTATGACATAAAACTTGAACTAGATTCAGCATTCAAATTAAGTACTACCTTACTGAAAAACCATAATAAAGTGCATATTTAAAATGAAACTTGCATACTATAAAGTGACACATTGTCATTTATACATCTAGAATTTATGTAAATTCTACTAAATTCAAAAGTCATACCACTGTGTCATAAATTAAATTTTAAATTGCAGAGATTTCTTTATAATATTCCATATTATTGTACAGAGTCATCATAAAACCTATTGTAAATCCTTAAGAAGTCCTAGGGTAAAATTTTGGCCCCACTGAACTCAATGGCAAAACTTTAATTTACCCCTAAAGTTCTGTGACTTTTTCTCAACCGGATGTTCTCTTTATGAGTAAACATTAAATGTAATTCATTAATAGACTACTGTGCTACATAGTCATGCACTTATTTTAACATTTAAATACAAAACAAAATTAAATGCAAGGGACTTCTCCAAATATATTAGCTCCAACTCAGCCTGAGTCAGTATTAGAATGTCATCTTAAAGACTATTGGCTTTGGAAGGGTATTTCTGGAAGAAATTTTATTGACGATAGGAGTCACCAGTACAAAAGTAGTTCAAAAGGTCAAATTATATGACCCACCCAGGTATCTCTCACCACTTCGGTGGCTTCAAGCATTCATATCTATAATTCAGAAATTGTGTTTGGTACATCACTGTATAAGCTTTATGCTCACATTTATTTATTCATTATTATTCAGTGTGATTATTTATTGTTTCAAGTAGTGCCCACAGTGTATCAGTTCCTGTATAACACAAATGAAGTCATGGGTCTTGCCCTGAATTGCTTACACTCCAAAAAGACAAAACAGACACAGAGATGGAGATGATTTTTTGAGGGGAAAAGAGACCGGAGTATGCTTGTATTGTGAGAGAAAGTAGACAGAAGAGTGAAAAGTTGAAGAGGAGGAGGTGGTGAAAGCAGGGATAAGGGAGATTGGTCTCAAAGAAAAAACCATGATACAAAAAGGACACCCTTTTAAAGTGATCACTTACACTGAGCTGGGATTGTACCGCTGGAAGTCCCAAGGTAATGTTGGGCAAAGAAGGAGACGTATACAAACTCAACAGGTTCATCGATTCTTCATGAATCAGAATACGTTGTTGTGAAACCAAGTGCTGAAACAAGAAAAAAATCACCTCCAGATCTGTAACACTTATTTCTATTACCCTTCGGCAACAAAAGCCAGTTAGTTAGTTATCTTTGTTAGTGTGCCTAAGAAGCCAAATATTGGGGAAAAGTACTTCCTTTCCTGATATACTGAGTATCCTGAGTACTGGGGCCTACTAATATTTCCCCAGTATAGCTCTGAAATTCTTTTCCTGAAATGGAGACAAATATTCACCTGCCTACCATGCTGCCTTGGTTAATCAGTTAAATTCCTATGCCGAACCAAAATGTCAAGGATTCCCTGCTCCATTACCTCTTCTCCCACCAACCACACATTCATTGCTATAGGGTCAATGGGAGTTTTGCTTGAGTAAATATTCAAGAAGGATTGCACGATATGTCTTATGGAACACTGATGCTTCATCTCTTAATGTATGTAAGGACACATATATAGCCGTATTGGATATCATTTGGATATGCTGAGGGATATCCTCCTTGCTAGAACTAGAGCAGATAACCTATATGAGATTTTCATTAAAATGAAAGAAAAAGTTCTAAAGGAGTATAATTCATATGCATTGCTGCAAAACTTCACCCAACATAATTCAACACTATTCATTCTGTGTATCTTATCCCCTTGCCACTAAATTACCATTAGGCTACAGTGTTTATTATGGACGGAGAAAGTCTGAGTAAAAAGTGATTTAGGAAGCAAATGCCATTTTAAAAAAAATAATGTTAAAAAACATGGCCACCATTCCTGTTGGGTGCTGAGCTGCCCTGTGAAGTGCTTAGCCTCCTTAACTCCCTCCAATTTCAACACCTTGCTGGATAGTCCCCATACTTGTTTTGAAACCATATGATATAACCATTTATGAAGAGGACATATAATTTCTGATATGATTTTTAAAACCACCCTGCACAGAGAAACAGGTATTCTGAAAAGATCCCCCATAAGTACCCACTTAGAATTCGGTGGGAAGAAGCAAAAAAAGGTTACATTATCACATGCTTACTGCAAGAGGAATCTTTTTGAAACCTCTGCCATTCTGCTTTAACAGTCATGTTTTTCAACATGTGGTCTAGTATAGTTGCTTGAATTACATTTTCTGTTTAACTCTTGCTTCCCTCCCAGAACTTTTACACAATAAGAGCTACAAAGGTCTTATTAGGCTTAGGAACTCTGGCATGATATGGTCCCCAAGGGAACAACATCCCTGAAAAAGAATACCCTGTGTAACAGTATGACACAGTGACTGCTTTCTTCCCAAACAAAAAGCATATGGGGCTCCAATAATAGACCACCTCCAAGAGGGATACTGCACACTCGGGCTTTGACTAAAGTAAATATAATAACTTGTCAAGCATGTTGTGGGGAGCGGTAGATTTTCCCCTGGACAAACCTGGGATATCAATTAACTTTGGAAAATACCTTGTGCTAATACAATGCAACTTCAGACTGTCACTGAAAACTGGTGCTGCACAAAAACACAGGATGTTATTCCAAAACATAACCTTCCTCATATAGTTTGTTTGGAAATAAGACCTATCACTGAGACAATAACAGTAGAAGTCTCTATGTGTAATTTTCTCTTGGTATCTTGGGAATGCTAGAAGATAGTATATGAAAGAGAGAAGAGATATGGACTGTATGGAATGCAAGTGTCAAGAAACTGCTTCATATGTATATTACATTAATTTCCCATTAAAATTGCACTTGCTTGATAACGTCCAAATATGTACATTATTAAAATGAAGTATGTCCAAAATACAAAAGTCTAGTGTGAAATGCTATAAAGGTCTTACCAAAAGAGATGCTGTAAACATGTAATCCTCTTTTTAGGACATCATCAGACTTGTGCTGGTTGCAGCATCTATATGGTGCTGCATTTAAAAAATATACATGTTTCCTTTTTGGTTTTATGATATGCCACTGTTAAATTCCAAGGTGTGCATTGAGGAACAAGAGTGAAATGATAGAATTTAAGGAATAAGTCCAGCAACTAAAAGGTAATGCCACGACTGTTAAAACTGAATCTCCCCTAATCTGTTCCATTAAGCATATGTAATAAAACAGCTGTGTTAAAAAACCAATTGATTATTAATAACATTTGCATTGAAATTTAACAGCATGAATATGCCTCTACAACATAGTCATTTTCTTTTAATAATCAACTGGTATTTGTTTTACGATAACCCTCAGATTAAGCCCATATTAAGACCCCTATCCTGAAACGAGCTTTATGCTGACTCAGGGGGCCACTTGCATGGAGGCTACTGCGGAATCAGGGCCTATGTGTGTCTTTGGGCAACTTAAAGTGTTACACTAGTGACAATTTACTAAGGCTTTGTCTACACTACACAGCTTTTAGTGACATGGCTGTGTCGCCACAGCCGTACCGCTAAAAGTCGTGCAGTGTAGCCGCTGTTTGTTGGCTCTCCTGCCGACAAAAAACGTCCACCCCCAACAAGCGGCGTTTGCGCTGTTCACGGCACTTGTCGCAGCAAAACGTTTGTCTTTCGGGGGGTGGGAGGAGATGGGGGAGGAGGCGTTTAACACCTCTGAAAGACAAAAGTTTTGTTGTTCAATTGCCAGTATAGACATAGCCTAAGCTAATGGGGCATAGTCCTGTCCCCCACAGCATCCATTTGTTGAGGCAGAATTCCCAGCTTGCTAGTGTTTTAAAAGAAACATTCCTATCAGTCAGGTTCACTTAATTCTTAAAATGTAAGTATAGTAATTAGATGTAGCAGTGTGTGGCTTTACTGTCTAATATCAACTTCTCTCTCTCTTCCCCCCCCCCCCACCACACACACACAGGGAATATTTTATTTTAGCTTTAAATCTTCCAAGTTGCAGACACAGTGTCTGAAGATACCATTGCTTTGAACAGTCAGAATAAATGGCACTCCGAAGTAAGAACTACTTCTATTGTTTTCATTAGTTATAAAAATTAAGTAGATTCCCTTTTCATGTTTGGATTTAATTTCAATTTCATCATGCTGGCTAGAGACTTAAAATTTTTGAAGAACTACTAAGTGTGCTCCTCAAAGCTGAGGTTCACAAACGAATATTATGAAAGATGGGTTTAAGAGACATTTGTACCATGTGCATTTATTTATGTCCTCCATATAATCAGGCAGTTTAGTTTCTATTATTACCTTCAATATACCAGTCTCCAAAAGTTCTGTACACCAAATATAAGTGGATTCTATATGGTCCTGAATCAAAGCCCATTGAGATGAATGGGCTGAATGGGACTTCACTGGGCTTCGGATCAGGCCCTCTCTGTGCTTAGAGTTAGCACATACATTTGTATTGTGCCTTACTGAGGCAAGCTGTCCCAATGAAGTCATAGGAAATCCTTGCATGAGAAAGGCAGGCAGGATTTAGCCATGCACAGCATGTCATTTGAAAGTATATGGTTTGCTCCAACAGACAAATAGTTACCGCAGTGAACCCTGAACCATTAGAGGCAAAACCTGGGTCTAATAAAAACAACTTTTATTTATAAGGCGCAATTATAAGTTTAACTTTTAAGGCTCATATAATGACAGAAAGTCTTTTAACAGACTGGTTACTGAAATCACTATTAGAGAAATTGATAGCAAGGGATTATCTGCAAGGTTTCTTACTCACAGTGCTCTTCTGTGCTTTCAGAAAATTTAAATAAATGGTTACCACACTGTCTACTGTGGGTTAAGACACTTAAGAGACTGCTATTTAAATGATTAAGGCAGAAATGTTTTAAAAGAATCAAAATTTCATTACTGATATTGCTCTAGTCACTACAGTGTGTGATCATTTACAGTACTGACTCAGATTTTTACTGGTAAATGATTCTTCTGTCATCGCAACCTGTTTTTCCCCAGCAAGAAGTGTTCATTTGCCGCCATGAATACCACAGCCATACGCCCACTCAGATGTGAATACAACACTTACTGCAAATGTCACAATAACTATTAGGAAACAACAGCAGAGTGAGTCATGCACGGTTACGGCAAAACAAGTGACATTTTGCATGATTTTAGAACACAACCTATTATTAGAAACCACTGTACTTTGTGTGTCTGGCAAAAAATTGATTAGATAAATACCATTTGAGAGCTGGCAGCTAATGTTCAACTACAGAAGAAATATTCAGCTGTTTGGTTACTAATAAACTATCAAATAAAATTAAAATGTACTGATGTTGAGATCTATGGAAAAACGTTTGCACCCACAGGACCACAATATTAACAATCAAGTAACCAGTGAGGTAAAGAAGTCTCTGACTGGAGCCAGAAATGGAAGCCAGTGGTTTCAGCTTCCAAGTGTTCTGCCAAAGAGCTGAGTGAGTGGCTCCAGCACATGGAGCTCAGCTTTTAAAATAGCCTTTTAGGCTCATTTCAGTGCTCATGATAGTAAGAGACTAATACCACTGTTGCCTGGCATAGGAAGGGAAGATGATTTTGCAATGTAGTGTTCTATTAATGCACAGAATATAGTCCTAATGGTCCTAGAGCTGCAGTCTTCCCAAACCTCTCCTGAACAGAGACTGCCCATCGCACCAGACTGACCAGATTTGATTGTGGTCAGAGGGCTCTGCTCTTCACTGACGAAGCTGCCGCAAATTGGCTTTGCAAACTCCACATCCGCTAAGGAGACTACCTGATTGTAATCTCTGTGGTGGTTTAATGATGTGAACAAGTATCTAGGAGTTAGGATAGTCAGAGTACCAAACACAGTAAATAAGCCCAAAGAAGCATCATTATTCCCTTTTGTATTTTGTGGTGTTAGCATTAATGGCAAAGTATTCAAGTAGCTGTAGTATCCAATTCCATATGATGTTCCATCTAATATAGCATTAGCACCCCTACTATACCCCTATTTGAAGTTATTCTTCCCAAGGTGAAACTATACTGTTTTAATCCCACTGTACTGACCAGCCTGTGGTCTGAACTGAACTTTTTTATACCTTGCAATACATAATCTGAATTTCTTCACAATCCCATACAGAGGGCTATGAGGCAAAACCACATGTTAGCCATCAATGTAACTTTTTTGTTTTCTCTGTACCACAGAGAGGCTACTAATCAGTGTGCAGAGGTCACCCACCTGCCCTCTGGATCATAGTTCACACACACAATTAATTCATTATGGGGAAGAGTCCCTGCTGGAGGTTGAACTAGCCAATCCAGGTTTTTTTAGGTGAATGTCCTGTCACTGACCTGGAGAAATAGCTCCATTAGCCCAAACTCTGTTAAGTCACATTTCCTCATGCTCTTTTGTTTAATCAGTAGATAATATAAAACAATTAACAGCAAGCTAGGCCATCAAAGTAGTTATGATTCTGGGCATTAGCTGCAGAAGATAGGGTGGAATACAAATCTTAGCATTGAATGAGGTGTCCTTTTATACGTATTGGCACTAATAGGGAAAAACTGCCTTTGGCTTGTGCATTACAAATATTGTATGAGGGAGGAAAATAATAAATGATTAATACCTCTATTGTGCCTTCTGTCTAAAAACCTCAGAGAGCTTTACAAAAAAAGTAATGAAGCCTCCTCACACCTTTGTTATGTTAGGGAATTATTATACAGATAGGGAAAACAAGGCACAGAGAGACTGAGTGACTTGCCCAAGGTCACACATGATTTCTCTGAGGATAGGACTCCTGACTACCAGCCCTATGCTTTAGCCATAAGACCATCCTTCATTTAATAATAACTGATAACTAATAGCTTATTCAATAATGCAGTAAGATAGGACTTGGCTTACCACAAGTTAGGTTCTTCAAAAGTCTATGGTGTGTGTGTGTGTGTGCATACATATGTAGTGTGCTGGGAGCTATTTTTTTATCCCTTTAAAGCCAGTTCATTAGGGCCCTGATTCAGCAGACCACTTAAGCACATGCTTTATTTTAAGCACCCAAATCAATCAGAGATCAATTAGACTACTCACATGCTTAAGGTTAACCTGGATTTAAGTGCTTTGCTGAGTAAGGGCCTTGAATACTCTCTGCCTAACTGCACAACACTCAGTGCGAGAGAAAAATGACTAAAATTCAAAATAATTTTAAAAATGACAAAATAATGTTTATAAATCCCAAATGTCCAATCCCTCAAGCCTTTCCAGGGCTAGAAGTATATGCTGGATGGCCCCTGGGGAAACTCGGAAACTCCACTATTTTATAGCATTGAGTTCCTGTTTCTTGTTCTGACAGATAACAAGATATTGGACTCTACACCCATCTGGAGTGATTATTGTCTGTTTGGGTCTTAGGCCAACATAATTGGAGGTGGGGGAAGGGAGAATATTCACATTTTGAGGGACAGGAAACCACTTCCTTAGAAAGTTTATTTTTAAAATAATGCCAGGTGCTTGACATTCCTGAGAGTTTTGGAATGTTGAAAGCAGTCCTGGGGCAATGGATTAGTGGGCAGAGTGCAGGTGAGGCACTCAATGACGATAAATACAATTTGTCACATGGTTGTCAATACCACATTCTGGAGGTGTCAGTAGTGACTCCATAATTAAGGTTACGTTAAGATATATACTTGAAACAGGATTAAGATCCTTCTATTTCACTGGGAATTTTGTTTCCAAATAGCACAGTGAGTTTTTGGATGACAATTGAATTTTCCATAATTATTATTATTATTATTTTTATTTATTTATTTTTGGTAAAGTATTTACTAATTTTTACATAGGAAATTTAAAATGAGCCCCTTTTGCAATTTCTTACATGTTGTCTGGTCCTTGAAGCTAAAGATCCAGGGCCACCACAAACACCCAGATATATGCACCAACCATTTCGTGCCCCCACTCCATTTCCCCTCCCCATAGTGTCTTACTGGAGATGTTAACCTTTTGCAGTGGAAATCTAACAGACCTGCTCAGGTCTGCTAGATAGGGGTTCCACTCTTCAGATCCACAGGAAGCACACTGCCCCCCTAGCTCCATTCCTGCAGGACCTTAAGCTGCAAGTCTCCTCCTCGTCTCCTTGCCCTTTGTTTGCAATAGAGACTGGGACATGATGGGAGGGGACAGGGAGAAGGAGAAAGTTCAGGATGCCTTATGAGTGGAGGAAAGAGTAAAGATTTAATATACATTATGGAATCCATGGGAGCTCTCGCTCCATTAATAAAGCTATTAGCCCTTGTGTCTAGCTCGTATGATCTGCTCTTTAATCTTTAATACATTTGTGAGCAGTTGGAGGGATGCTACGACCAAATATGTCTTACTGGATGTGTTGTGGTGTATGTGTCATATCTGAAATTAACTAAATACATTATCTCATGAAAGGAATTTCTAAACATACTGCAAGAACATATATTTGAATGTATGTCTCTATTTAATTAACAGAGCAAAACTCAGACCTGGCCAGCTAGTTAAAACTATGATATAAAGCTATTTCACAGCTATGCTATCAACAGATTATACAATCTCTCTTTTGTTTTTAATTCAGTAACTGGAGTACACTGCCACAAAACACCCAGGTTTATTATTTTACTACCTCAGAGAAACATATAGAATCATAGACTATCAGGGTTAGGAGGGACCTCAGGAGGTCATAGAAAAACAGTAAATGTTGTCAATTACTATATATTATTTGGGGAGTTTACGTTATGTATCTGTGCTTTCTGTTTGTTTGCCCACATTAAACAAGATGCAATACACCTGAGGTGTGCATATTGTAAGGCTGTATTTCTTTATTCACAGTTCTGGTGAGCTATGCTTCACTCCTCTGGTTTATGTTTACATTGGGAACCATCATAGCTTCACTGTGCCACTTTACTGACAGTGAGTAGTGCCTTATTGTACAAGCATTCCCATGGACATCAATGGGACTATGTAACAGTGTCTCACCACTCTGCCACAGGTACGGCTGCTGCCTCAGTTTCCTCAGAGCCTCCCTTTCACTGTTTAATGAGTTTAGCCCTTTGGCTAAACCAAAATGGTCCTATCCTAGTGTGTAAGCAAAACAAGAAGTCCACAATACAAGTCTGTGACTCTGGGCCTAGCCCTCTTGTTAGGGTCTGTGTAACCCTCCTCTCTTTGAGGAGTATAACCATGCCCCTCTAGCTGACACCTCAGTGCCACAGGGGTGCTTATGCTTTGACCCTAGAAATCCAAAGAGGGAAGGTGACTGTCCACTACACTGCCCACTGCTTCACTTTCCCCTCAAAGCCGCCTCCTATATTTGTCTTGCCCCCACAACCCCTTTCCCTGTATTCTACAGTATGGCTCCCCCGGACCCTTTTTACTTCTCTTCTGGGTGTACCACCACTGGTCTTCAAAACCTGGTCACTGAAGAACCTCCTCAGCTAGCTGTACCCTGCACAGCAAGCAAAAAGGAGATCTTTTATATCCCTGGCCCCTTTCCCAGCATATTTTGTACGAGCCTAGAGTTCCCTTGTCCCTCAGGGAACTACAACTTCCAGAATTCCTCTGTTCCAGGCTGGAACTCAGAACAGGAATGGGTTGGACCTGAGCCAGCATAAACTGTAACCGACTACTTACAGAGCAAGGTACTACTCAGCATGAGTGAGGGCTTGTCTACACATGGAATTATTCTGGACTGTACACACATGGAGTTAATCAGAGATAGTCAATCAGGAATAACTCCACGTGTAGACAAGCCCTAAGGCAGGTGAAATCTAGCCCTACATTTACATGTGTGTGGGAGCATAAAGCATTTTGCTGGAGTATCATTTGCTCCAAATAAAATTCCAAAGCAAAGTACTTTGCAGTATCCTGGATCAGTTGTTTATGTTAATATTTAGAAATGCTAGTGTTATTTCACGGGATTTCATTATTTCTAAGATGCCAATATTCATTATGATATATCAAAACAGTCATTCCACAATGTATCTTAGCACCATCATATCTCTGCCATAGACCAGTTTCCACTGCCATCTGAAATACAAGCCAGTTTCTCTTTCACACACAGTTACTGTGACTTCCAGGTGAAGGAAGGAAATCAGAAAGCAACTATGGTCTTTAAAGTGCTGTTTGGAATCTTTCCAGCTCTAAAAAGCTAAGCAATTACCTGGTCAATAAAGGGACTGAGTGTATTATTCTTACCTCAGCTTGAGAATTAGATGGCAAAAGTGAGGTTTCATTTTCTGTCACACTTCCAGTAGGGCCGTTGCTTGGTGAGCTGGGCCCTGTTCCTGGAGAACTGCTACTAACTGACGACTCTGAAAAAAGATTAAGCACACATGAATTTATAAGTAACACAGAAATCCAGCTGCGATTATGATGAACAATATATTGCTTATAGCATACTCTTTCTTTTGAAGAATAGTTTTCCTGTATGAATGGACTTTTTACTGTGTTAAGGATTTTCTCTCAGTCCCAATTTGTTTGCAACCTTAAAAAGATAGATAGTTTCATTCTTTTCCCCTCTCGATCCCTTCTGCACAAAGGGGGAATTTATTACTTGAGTTTCCTGCAAAGATGGCAAGTTACTCAGTGGCAGGCAGAGATGTACAAACAGAACTCCTAATGAGGAAAAAAGAAAGGAAGTACTTTTTATTGCATACTCTTCTGCCTCTGTGAGAGATCAAAATGACAGAAACAGTAGACTTGCAAAGGTCATGATAACATGTCATCAATTCATGAGGCCTACTGTCATTCCCTTGCTGTTTGGGAAGGGCTCCGGAGTATTCAGTTGTGAACTAACCTCTATATGAGTAACCAATAAAAAACAATACACCATTCGCAATACATCTCTGTCAGCAAGGTACGAGGGACTGTTTGTAGCATAAAAAATCTTAAAATAGCATTTTGAGGGCTATAATTTACCCGGGCTTGGTGAAAAAACTCCCAGGAGTTTTGGTTAAGACGAAACGTAGTATCAGTTTAGGAAATGATACATCTGCTATCGGTGATATATATACCATAGGAAGATATTCTGCACTTGTAAAGGAATGGACTTGATGATCTAGTTGATCTTCATCACATCTAACTGTTATAAATCCTATATTGATGACGAGTTTTTGTACAGAACAAGGAAAGAATATAAATAACTAAAATTAGAATTGTATGGTGTTAGCAGAGATAAGAATATTTTATAGAACATCTTTCATACAAACTATCTCAAGAAAATTAAAATAATTGAGACAATTTATTTAATTAGCCAGCTATCAATTTATGGCTATCACCAATTCTTTGCTCTCTTTTTTGGGTCAGCTTATTAGGTCCAGCGGCGTATTATCATCTAGGCCGACAAGGCCTAGGCCTAGGGCGGCAAATTTGCAGGGGCGGCAAATTTATAATAGCAGCATTTTTGTAATGGCGGCATCAGTGACGCCGCGATTCTACCACTCATAGCGCATATTGAAACCACCAATAATGGTGTGACGCCATTTAGTAAACATACTTGCGAGAATCCTAAACGTTAATAATATGACTGGAAGGAAGAAATTAAGCGGTTCTCAAAAAAAATGCTATACAAAAGAAAGAAAGGGAAAATGAAATGATAGCAAAAATGTGCAAAATAGATTCCTTTGTTGTATCAGTTAGTGCCGACAGTGAGACAGAAAAAATAGTTGAAAGTAGTAGTGAAGTCAAAAGTGAAAATATTGGTGTTGATATTGAAAATATTGATGTTTAATAAGTTCATATGGGGCCAGGGGCGGCAATTATTTCAGGGCCTACGGGCGGCAAAATCATTAATCCGCCACTGGTTAGGTCCCCACTCCTCTTGTCACGGAAGAAAATGGAAGTTTTGCTAGTGACTTAAAGGAACCATTCCTTACTCCCAGCTAGAGTACATTTCTGCAATTCACTATCCCATCAATAAACTAATAATATAGGTCTGGTCAGGAAATGTTTTTGCTCAGAAAATGTTTGATCAGCTGTACTTTTAACCGATTGGGGGCTATGTACAAACTATGATGGGGGGAAAAAATCACAATCGAGTCAATGGCAAACTTGTAAAAAGTGAGTCCTGGGAATATATTTTCAGGCATATAAGCAATCATTGATAATAAGTCAGTGACAGAGTCAGGATTAGAATAGAAATGTCCCAACACCCAGTCATGTACTTTAACCATGACTATAGGTAATGCTCTCTTACTAAAATCATTACTGTTTTACTTTAAACCTCACTTGAAAATATATGTATCACAAAGGAATGGGCCACTCTAGAAATGAAGGGAAAGAGTGTCAGTAAAAAGAGAATCAGCACTAAGCTGCCAACCCTTAGATCCCCAACAAATTCAGCAATTACACTTAACACCAGTGTTTGTGAAATTAATTGGGCATATCTCGGTCAGACAGCAATGTTATGGAAAGCTCTGTATTCAGCTACTAACTGGAGATTAAGAATAGGAGAATGATTTCTTTTACATTTGCACCCATAGTCTGTAATAAACACCGTGAAGAGCTGTCCTGAAAACGGCACTTATTGGACAGGGAATTTACCGTAATTTGTTTACACTATGTCGTATCTACATGGTGATGTAAAATCAGTGAGATGCACTGATTTAATTAAACTCTTCCCTGACTAATGGATGCAGATATATATAACCAGCTGAGCAGTAATCAAGCACCCTTATATACACAGGGCCTAAGTCTCATCTCACTGAAACAAGTGTAAACCAGGTGCAATGCCAGTGAAGTCAGTGGAGTTGCACTGGTGTCAAACAAGAGCAAGTGACATCAGAATCAGGCCCAGACATTGTAGATTCTCCTATTCTTTTCAGATTAATGGGCCAGGCCCTGAAAGCATCCTATGTCTGCAAGTTCAGGAGTCTGGATTCCAATGTGCTTGCAGAGGGAACAATTCAAAGCAAAGTTCAACCCTAATTTTGCAAGATAACATATATGATAATGACACACTAACACTAAAACGTATATAACCACTTTATGAGCATACATAATATGCAAAAGTAGACTTTATTATCCAAAGATAATTGGCCTCTTTATTTACTTAGTTCAAATGTGTGGAAAGGAATTCAAAACCAATTTTAATTAACCTAAAATATTTCAATTTACATTTTTTTCCTCTCTGCAACTTTTCTCCCTAAGGTGCAAAACTTTTATGTTATAACTGCTAAAAAATCCCTTCTAATTACTAGCAGCACCATCTGCTATGACTGAAAAATGTGCCAATGAATATTTAAACAGGTCTGTAAATACTTCACGTCACATAATACCTTGGTGAGTTCTTAAAATCAAAACCAATTAAGTCTGACATTTTCAAACAAAGGGAACCAGGAGGAGTGGTCAAACATATGATTTCAAAAAGGTTGTGACGAGTTACCCTCATTTCAAGTTCTTGCTTTTGAAAACATCAGACCTCTCACTCATCAAAATTGTTAAGCCAAGCAACACTTCTAAGGAATCAGGTGTCCTCCACCGTGTTTGGAAAAATCATCAAGATGATATTTCTTATTTTGCCCATCTTGTTCAAAATGTTCAGACATTTCTTTAAGCCCTGGGAGATCTCTCACTTCAGAGAAAGCCTAACACAGGGAAAGATATCCCAAAGACTTAGGTTGAATTTCTAGCCTGCACACTCCAAAAGAAACTAAGCTGTCATATCACCCCACTACAAACTAAGCTGGCAGATACATAAGACATAATATTGCCACTGAGGGCTATTGAGTATTACAGAACATTTCCCTCTATTAAAAAAAAAGAGAGAGTACAAGCCCTCTCACAGCATATTTCGGTTCCCTGGGAAAACACACAAAGCCAAAAAACAGGTGGAATTTCAATTACTTCAGTGTAGTTGTATACAGACAAATGCATTCCTGTCCAGAAAGCTTCATATGGTTTGTGGGTCCCTACACTTCAGAGGTCCCATAAAGGCAATTTAGTCTCCAGCAGCATCTTCTGGAGACTGAGCTCCAGAGTTCCTTCAGTGGCTGCCACTGTACTGCCTGCCTCCCTCCACTAGGGGCTGCTGCTGAGAGCCAAGAGTCCGGCACTGTCAGCTGCCAGATACTTCATCATTCTAGCGCTGAGTGCATGCAGCTGGCATTTGACAATGGGGAGAGCTGCAGCTGGTTACTTCAGGTTGCAACAGGGGACCAGCCCTCTTCTTGACTTAATGGATGATTGACCATGTGTGCTCAAGACTTGAGTATGCTTTGCATAGTCTTTAGTAAAGCAACTATAGATAAGTTAAATCTGTCTCTATTACCCATGCATTAATTAGAATACTGTTATCCTGCTCCGCTCCTCTTGGTTAGAAGAGCCAAAGAACAAGCGAACACACACACACACACACACACACACACACAGAGTGTTGCAAATAATGCTCTATCCTGTTTTAGTTTGAGAGAACATACTTATTCAAGACATTATTTAGGTATGTGCCTGAGTCCCATTGAAGTTAATAGGAATTAAGCATGTGCCTAAGTACTTTGCTGAATCAGGACCTTAAATCGTATTGGCTTCAGAGCTGTTCGCAAGCTTGTTAAACTACTGCTTAGATTTGTTAAAATCTGTGTACTCTTCATTCTCTACATTCCTAAAGGTTTGCTTTTCCTAAGAGATTAATCTGGGTTTAGCATTCCTTTTTTGCTGGGAGTATGATGAGAGCTATTAATTCATTTCTTGTTCCAATTAAAGGGACAGGAATTTTGTTTATATTAAGTATTTTAAATCTATTTTTCTGATAGTGCAACCTTTACATAGTATATATTAGTATTTAAATAGCTTTTTTTTAAATCCCTTTAAAGCATTATATGGGTTTTTCTGTTCCCTTGCTGTCTTTTGGGAGGGGCTTGGACTGCTCCTGCCTCCCTCCTTCCTCTTCCACTCTGTACATACAGATGCCTTTTCAGTTTACATTTCAGCTTTGCTGCTGCTACTACTACTAAACACCCTCTTACAGAGCCTGAGGAAGAGCTTGTACACGCTCCACAGAGCAGTACAGGAGAGTGATGCAAGAGACCAGCAATGAACCAGTGACACTGACTATACACAAAGTGCTACCAACCCACACTGGAAACAAACAGGAACAACAGAGAATCTTTTCCCTTCTTATCTCTTTTTATCCCAACAATTCTAGGGGTTCCTTGTTTTTGTACTTACTATGATATGTAAGAAAAAGTGTCCTGATGGAAGTGTGATTTTTAAGTTGACAGTGCCCTTCTCACAAGTGAATAAAGCAAATTATTGTATGCAATTGTACCTTAAGTATTGCTGCTTTTCTGACAGAGAAATCTCTCTCCACACCTATGTTCAATACACAATTACGTTTCCAGTAAACTATATTTCAGGTCTTCTAAGCAGTCTACTAGCATAGTAGTTTTGGCAGAATCTCTCCAGTCCTTAATTACCTGTCACTTCAAACAGTCTCTTCTTGAATGAACTGACAACATTTCCATCCTTCCGCCTGAGTAAGGGGCTGCTTCTCCTTTCTGTCACCTTCTGTTTTAACCTGGAACGCACCTTCAAGTTGGGCTCCGAGGCTGGGAATTAAGAGAAGAAAATGGAGAATTTAAAATTAAAAAGCCGTTTCACCAAACAGTGCTTCCACTCGTTCAAGTACCCCTCCCTCAGCCCCCAGATGATCAGAGAAGAGAGAGCAATTTAATTACAGCTCCTCAGCACCCTCAAGTGGCCCCAACCCTAAGATGGTGGATGGGAGGAGGACTGAGGCAGTTGCAAAGCTGCTGCTCCCACTACTGTTACCACTTCATACCTAATAAGGCCTGGTCCACACTAACCCCCCACTTCGGACTAAGGTACGCAAATTCAGCTACGTTAATAACGTAGCTGAATTCGAAGTACCTTAGTCCGAACTTACCGCGGGTCCAGACGCGGCAGGCAGGCTCCCCCGTCGATGCCGCGTACTCCTCTCGCCGAGCTGGAGTACCGGCGTCGACAGCGAGCACTTCCGGGATCGATTTATCGCATCTAGACAAGATGCGATAAATCGATCCCAGAAGATCGATTGCCTGCCGCCGAACCAGGAAGTAAGTGTAGACGTACCCTAAGATAGGACCTAAACTCTGAGCAGACCAGAGGGGGAGGAGGAGCTTAAAATATGCTCTTCCCAGAAATGGTGCCACTCTAGAAAGCCCCCTTAGCCATCCCCTACCCTAGCCCTGAGCCAACGGTAGGACACAGCAGAGAAAGTAAGAGGGAACAACTTTATTTTTATTTACTTTTTTTCTTCTAAGCAAAATCACTGAATCGCTTTGTTTTTTAATTTTCTGTGGTTATTATTCTGCTTGAATGGTATATATGTACCTCATACATTGGGGATGTTCAAAAGTGCTTGATAGACTTAGCAGCACAATGCCCATTAAAAGTCAGTGAGACCTGTACTCCTAAAACCCTTAAGTTCTTTTGAAATTGCCTCTAAACAGATATGATTCCCCATGTACTTCTCCCTCTCTTTAATTCAATGGAGTACAGACCTAACACACTGTCAAAGCTATTTATAATAAGAGTGGCATTTTGGTGGTTATGTTAAAGAAGAAAAAGAAAGAAATTTCACTAGTCAGCCACTGAGTTTATTTTTGTTTCCAGTCCTCAGTGAAATCCCTGCTATTTCTCTCTCATCCCAGCTGTGCTACAGAGAAAAGTATCTCAACATGAGGATAGACAAAATTTTCTATAGCAGTTAACAAACAGCAGAAATGTGGGTTATTAATATGCAGTTTTATCATTAAAATTATCCAGAGGCCAAGGAAAGCTTTGTTCTACTACATTCCTACTGTAGGTGAAAACTGGTAACAATATAGTGGGGAATCCCCTTCTGGGTTTAGACTTTGGTCTGATGGTAGACATAGGAAGAAGCCTCTGCTGTGGCCTTTTGATTTCTTATAGGCATATAATTTATATCAAAGCCCATTGGGAGAACGTTTCTTAGTGACCAGTTCTGAGCCCGAAACCTTCAGCAGTTCTGAGCCCAAAACCTTTTCTGAATAGCTGCACCAAAACAACTGCATTTATTGCTGTATTCTGAGAAAAGTTATACATGAAAATATAAACTCAGTCTGAAAAGGAAGAAGTAAGATCAAATTCCAGGAATCCTACAAATTATATTTAATGTATTCTGGGCAAGTTCTTCCACCTTTTTCCTTTACTAAATGGACACAGTCTTTGAATATGAATGCTAGAGACCAGGTTTTGTGGTGTTTATTAATTTGTGGCATCTCTAATATGAAAAAATGTTTCATGTACCCATTTATCTGCTCTTCTAAGTAAGCCTTTATCAAACAGACTGCTAAAGATTAGTGCAGCCACCTGGCAGGTAAATTTAGGGTAGAATTTGTTTCATTGTCTGGCCATGCATGTTGGCTCATCAATGTCTTAACACATAGAGGGGTTGGAAATTTTCTCTCTCTCTCACACACGCACACCCTATCTCTCCCATGTGTGTGCGCGCACACACACACACACGAGTTAGAAATGGAGGAAGAAAAGAAGGGATGAAATCCTGGCTACATTGAGTTTTGTCATTGACTTCAGTGGGGCCTGGATTTCTAATTTCAGCTCTCTTCTCATGTGCACTGTGAACGCATTTGTTTCCTGTTGTTCCATTCGCTTCTACAGTGATGAGCACATTAGAAATGCCTGAGATAGATCAATGGGGGTGTCAATAACTTATTATATTTAGCCTGCTCAAAGAGTGGTACAAAATGTTAATAAACTCAGGACTGGTTGGATTTGCAATGTCTCTAACCAACCTTTGTCATGCCTTTTCCCATGATGCTAAATAGTTCCTGAGAGAACGCTGCCTCCTATGTGGTCTACTGTTTGTGCTGCTTTCAGAGGAACTATATAGCACCCTCATACAAAACTAGACATCTTTGAGGAAAACTTTAAATTTAACTTTGATTTTACATTTTATCAGTCACTGTATGACTCATCCATGGGAAAGCAAATCTGATTTATTTCTTTAGAGAGATACAGTTTTGGTACAGAACTGTCAACTTACAAATTAATGTATGATAAGATTACATTGATGTACTAGGAACATATCTATGTGTGCTCAGACCATGAATCTCATGTAGTTATGATTTGGAAGTAAAGTAACTCATATATTGTGCTGACTCAGTTTGCGGTTAGTGTTCATTCTATTTATAATTCTTCAAATTCCCAAGCTGCAGAAGAAGATTTCCATACCAGTGACTAACTAATGTGATGTAAATCCTCTGGGTCCAGAGAAAGAGCTCTTCAGCATTCACTGGGGAGAAGTTCCACTTGTATATGAATGTATTTCATGCCCAGTCACACTGATTGCCTTTCTATTTTTAACCATGTTGCCATCACACTCTGCATTACAATCAATCACATAAACAGAGAAGGCAGTCTTTTATGTGGATATCTGAGTTTATGCGCCAGCCAAGAAGAGAACCCTTACATAAAAGAGGAATATCATTATTTAAATGAAAACAATAAATTTTCAAATGAAGAGGAAGAAAACAACCCAGTTTTTTAATATTTCAAATAAAAGATAAAAATTAAAGCTTTGAAGAGTATGAGGTTCAGAAACAGACTTTCTTGAATATCCCTTGTGAAATGCAGCAAACTGAGAGCACTATGCCAGACAGGACTCTTGATGATAAGAGGTGAAAACTCAGATTTTAATACAGCAAGAAGAGGATGTTAGGGCTGATGGTTAGAGTATAGGGTTGAGGAAACAGTCCTCGGTTCTAATCCTGGCTGAGACATCAATTTGGTCTGTTACCTTGGAGAAGTCCACAGGGTAAAACCCTAGCCCTGCTGAAGTCATGACAAAATGCTCATTGACTTCAACAGCTCAGGATTTCACCCACAATCTCTACAGGCCTCAGTTTATTCTGGTATCAAATGATTGTAACAACAGGCATCTATCAGCCGTTTTGTAAGCATTAAAGAGATACTGTCAGATAGTTTAGACTCCAAATATAGGTTTTATTCTTAAAAAAGGTTTATTATAGTTCAATATTAATATAAATGATTTATAGAATTAAAAATTTCATTGTTTAAACTGAGTGAAATGCTAACAAGTAAACTAAAAGCAAAAATAGGGAAAAGTAAATTATATGTTTACATTATTTCACTTCTGGTATTCAAGCTTTTTAATTGGTAATTCATAAGGATTTTTCAAAAATATACTATATAATTTTTAACATTTCATTGTCCCTTTATTTAATTAATGTTTATAAAGTGCTTGGAGATCCTTAGATAAAGATGCTAAAGAAGTATTAAAATTATTCAGTAGTAGGTTTTAAATGAGTATTTGGTATGATGGTTTAACTATTGGTGCTTAGAAGTAACCTTTGCTATGCTCCATTATCAGTCAAAAAAGACCTTTATGACTCCATATAGTGGTTCACTGACGCATTAAGACCATGATTCAGCATGGTATTTAAGCATGTGCCTAACTTTAAGTACATGACTAGTCCCATTAAGTAAGAGTCTACAGCTAGATTCAGTCTGGCTTGTACAGGATGGCGCAAATTCCACTTTCCTGAACCAGCAGTCGCTTACAAGCCAAGGAGGATGCATCCCTAAATCAGGGCAGGAGGTGTTTCCACAACTGCCCTTCATTGGGGAAGCTATACAGGGATAGGGCAACAGAAGTTTCTCTCAGAGCCTCTATAGCATCCCTGGTGGCAGAGGCAGAAGCGGGATTATGCTGACTAAGAAGCCAGCATAAACCAGAGATGAATCTAGCTCATAGCTTGTAAAGAAATTTGCATCTGGTTCTCAGCTCCATCAAGCTTTTGCATTGCCAGTCAGCACAGCACTAGATCCACAAAGGGACTTAGGTGCCTAAATGCCTCTTTAGGCATCTAATGTCAACATTTAGGTGCCACTGGTATTCACAAAACCTTCACTGTCTTGCTGCCTAGCCTGTGGGTGCCTACATTTCTGCCACTAATGTCCCACAGGCACCTAAGTTTCTGCAAGTGGGCATGTGCAAAACCACCTAAATTCAGACACTGCTGAGTCATTCGGTGCCTAGCTCATTCCTAAGTGATGGCAGGATTCTCAAACTAGGTATTCCCCTGCCTGTCTCACATGCAGGGCCCAGTCTGGCAGGACTGCTCTGAGCATCACTTAATCCTCACAAAGACAGCTGGGTATGAGACTTTGTGGGGCTGGCTGTGTATTTCCCATTATACCCAACAGCTCAGTGGTTAGAGCACAACCCTGGGATGTGGGAACCTAGATCTGAACTCCCACCCTGTCTGATTTGGAGCAGGAATTTGAACCCAGATCCCAAGTGTGTGTCCTAACAACCATTCTAGTGAATATTTTAGGGTGAGTTTCTCAATCTCTCCCTTTTAAGCTGTTCCCCTTGGTATAAATAATTAGCTATTCATTGGAGCAATGACTTGAACTTGCCTTTCCCACATCCCAGATGAGTTCCCCTAACTACTGGGGATATTTAATTAATTATATAAAATGGAAAAGCTTCAACAAGAGCGATTGAGAGACTTATCTCTGAATACCTAACAGCCTGGTG